GACAACAAAGAAACTGTCGACTTGAAACACACAGACTAACCAAAGGTTGTACTTGTAAGTATTGTTAACTTTCGCATTCACTCAGGCATTCCTTTCCTGAATCAATTCAGCAATTCCTGCCACATATAAACTCAGGGGCATAAGAAACGCTGGTTTTATAAACGTTGACACAGTTTTAATCTACACCTAAAATCATGGTTAGAGACATTCTGATAACATTCTTCCAAACGCAACAATCATTACTTTGGCCTCGTGGTGAATCTGCATCACGATTTTTCTGTGAAATATGGGTTGTTCGGTTTTTTCGAGAAAATGCATAAGAAACATTCTGTGCAAGGATCGGGTATAAATCATGCCCAGAATCCTTCCTTGGCATTGAATCGTTTAGATTTCACCAACAAGAATGCCACGTTTGACGTCTGAGCAGCGAGAGAGAGCGATAGGGATGTTGCAGATGGGGGCAACTCAGGCCAGAGTTGCACAAATCATGTGTTGCCACAAAACCACAATTGAGAGGCTGGTGAAACGTCTCAGAGATACTGGTCGGACATCAGACAGACCACGAAGTGGAAGACCACGGGTGACCACGGCCAACGAAGACAGCCATCTTCGTCTGCTGCACCTACGTAACAGGTTCCTCACTGTGACGTCATCAACACGTGATTCTTTACAACACCCCGTCAGCAGGAGGACTGTAGCCCGACGTCTCCGCTATTTTGGTTTGAGAGCTTACCGGCCCTTTAGGGGAATGACCTTGACCCGGCAACATCGGCTGAACAGATTGAGGTGGGCTCGTATTGTGCAACGCTGGCAAAGACGTCATTGGGACAGAGTGCTGTTTTCGGATGAAAGCAGGTTCCAGCTGTACAGTGCTGACGGCCGAGTGTGAGTTTACCGGCGGAGAGGCGAACGAACGTCACGTTGCTGCGTCCAAGAAGTGCATCCACATGGCGACGGTGGTGTGAGGATCTGGGGTGGCATTTGTGGTGACACTAAGACCGACTTGGTGGTTATAAATGGTACCCTCAACGCTGACCGCTACATCAACCAGGTATTGACACTAGTCGTGCTTCCATTCCTGCAGAATAACCCAAGAACGCTGTTCCAATAGGATAACGCCACTCCACATAATGCACGTGTTACCCGAGAATATTTCAATGTCAACAACATACAAGTTCTTCCGTGGCCAGCCAGATCCCCTGACATGAATCCCATAGAACACCTCTGGGACCATCTTGGGAGACGGATTCGGCAACATCAGCAACGTCCACATGACAGACAGACGTTGACGCAGGCACTGCAAGAAGAGTGGCGTCACATCACTCCAGCCATTGTGAGGAGACTAGTAACGTCTGTACGACGTCGCGTCGGGGACTGCATACTTGTTAGAGGTGGACACACTCGCTATTAATGACGGAATGTGACTTTAACGGATTTGTGTAATGATAACATGAAATGGAATGTGAACGAATTACGGACAATTCAACACCTGTTACAAGAATGCTCACTGTTCTTTACAATGTCATCGTGTGGTTGTTAAAGTCGGTCAACCTGATGTTAATTGTTGTGTCTGTGAAATAGAATGATATCTGTTGCCATACCTTGTCATATGTTTTTATTGGATGCGAAAATTAGAAGCCAGCGTTTCTTTTGCCCCTCAGTTTTATTATCAACGATAAAAGTGAAATCGTGATGAATAGAGGTTTACGGTAAAGAATATCTGAATGTTTGAAAGTATGAAAATTTTCTTTAGTTGCTTGTATTGTATATTGTTTCCGGATATTGTATATCTGACCATAGACTAACAACTAGTCTGTGAAAGGAACATATTTTACAGAAAAAAGGCTCATAGTTAAAAAAAAATCAAAATATCAAAAAAGGAGCCTGAGACTTCCTAAAGCTGTGGAAATCTAGACTTGCCACATTTTCTAGACTTGCGTGGGATTTCTTGGATATATTTGATTCAGGGTCTGTGTGACAGACTTATAATCTGACCACATAAGCTGACATCGTGTAATGCAAGAACAATATAAAATGTTGATTGTATTGTATGGTGCTCAAGGGAATATGATTAATATATGCATCATATCTGTATAATCACGATGAATAGGACATTTAATGTCATCAATGTATGAACATGACATAACTGTATTTAGGAATGCAGGCATATTACCATGACATATCTGTGTTATCAGGAATGCAGGGATAGTAACATGGAATATCTGTGTTATCAGGAATGCATGGTAGTAACATGGAATATATGTGTTATCAGGAATGCAGGGATAGTAACATGGAATATCTGTGCAATCAGGAATGCAGGGATAGTAACATGACATATCTGTGTTATTTGGAATGCAGGGATAGCACCATAACATCTGTGTAATTAGGAATCCATGGGTATTACCATGACATATCTGATTGTTTGATGGGCATTCTAGAAGTTGGTGACTCAAAAATGATACACAGTATGTTAATCTGCTGTTGTCAAGCATACTGTGTATTATACCCTCTACATCTGGTTGTATTTACTTTTAGCTTGATAAAGATGTAGGAATCTACACCGAAACGTCGCTCTATGCAATAAATAAGAAGTTGTCATCCATAAAGTTGTATGTTTCATTTATGACATATCTGTGCAATCAGGAATGCGGGGATATTACCATGATATATTTGTGCAATCGGGAATGCAGGGATATCACCATGACATATCTGTGCAATCAGGGATGCAGGGATATCACCATGCAGGGATATCACATATCTGTGTTAATAGGATGGATGTGTGTTATTAAACAACCAATGTCACCTCTGGAAAAAAAAATAGAAACTGAAATGCAGAAACCCGCGGCTAAACCTTGATAAACCGAACTGGTGAGGACTGAATGTGTTCTAATGCTTAGGTACAGTCCGGGTCTTGTCTCCAACCAAAGAACGACCGCTCTGTGATCGCATCGAACGATGCTAAAAGATCCAAAAGGACATTAAGTGTGAACTGTTAGCAACATTGATATTGTCATGGATACACTCGTACATTTTAGAACATATGGGACAGGCTGGAAACCCGGGTTATTAACCTATTGCTTATTCAGAATAGCTTTACAATGTCTTATGTGTGTTTTGACAAGGATAATGTTTTTTATTGCGAATATAATTCTTTTTATATATACTGATGTTTTTCATGTGTGATTCTATCTGTATTGCCCTTGTGGTCTAAAGGATAGAGTGTTTTCCCGGAGAGCGGGAAGTAGGTGTTTCGATCCCATAACCGCAGTATACAGAAATTAGAAGGTGGTACATGTTGTTACCCTGACGCAAAGCATTAAGAGGATACAACAGGGACTGTCGGGAGGGCTCGCTGTATCTGAGTTGGATACTAATGTTAACCTACGACACGTAGCTATGGTAAACGCGACGTTAAAATCTGTTTTCATCTCAACCGAGTCTTGTAACAGAAATGTTGTGCTGCAGCGCTTTTCAGATTGAAAGAATGTTTGAACTCTATGCATATTCCCTTACACTGTATGTGCTATTATATATTGGACAAAAATAGTTAGGGATATATCTACAGTTTGAAATTATGAATAAGGATCTATTTATTCATTGTCAAACTGATAAAATATCAATCATAAAAATACCAATACCCCTAACTTATTTTTTCTAGTATATATTTACATTTTGCGAACATCCATAGACATGCCTTTCACATATTAATGTTAATTATATTTAACCTAGTATGATTATATATTACTTAAAATGCAGTCATTTGCCCTAACAATCTCACTGACTTGGTTGACACATGTCATCGTATACCAACTGATCGATGCTCATGCTGTTGATCACCTCCTTGTCTGGTCCAGACTCGATTATTTACAGACCGCCGTCATATAACCGGAATATTGGGAGTGCGGCGAGCAAAAACCCAACTCAATCCAACCCAACCAAACCAAACCCAACCAAACCCAACCTAACAATCGCCTCTTTTCCGTTCTTTTCAGTTGCCAGTTCCATGTCATATATGGTCAACCTGTCCAGATTCCTCTGAAAGATTTCATCTTGAAATACAAGCTTGTTCAACCATGGAACTGTGGACAAACATATTGGTGATACTGATTTCAAGATTAGCTTCCACGAGTTTGGAGTTTCTTGACTGCCGACCTTGCAAGTGTTCTGGTGGGAAAGGAAATGTCACAGCAGATTGTACAAACCGCAACTTGACGGAAATTCCTTCCTCGGTCCCACATGGGACGAGCGTGTTGCTGTTTGCTGGAAACCAATTGAAACTGAATAAGAACACGTTCGAAAACCTGACGTATCTTAAAACTTTAGATTTACGTAGAAATGGTTTAGCATATACAAATGAAAGTTTTCCATCGTCTGTGTTTCAAAATCTTATTAATCTGACCATTCTTAAAATCAATGTTAACAATGATGATTCTCCCAACCGTGTACTAAAGTACCCAATTAATGCGTTAGAGAAGCTGCAATCTCTCGAATGGTTAAGTATTGACGGTCTGGAATGTCAGGCATTTGCCAGTGGGTTCTCCAAACTAAAACGTCTTAAAAGACTATCAATAAAGGGTAACCGTACTTCCTGTAACATTTGTTCTGTAAATAAGACTACATTCAAATACTTACCAATCCTTGATTACATTGACATAGTCAATTGCAACCTACGTGTCGTTGAACCGGGGACATTTGTTCACCAAAAGCTTCTTAAAACATTAGATATTTCAAAAAACCATTACCTGCGGTTTGACGGTGTCACGAATGCAACACAAGGGATATCTGAATCACTTGAGAAATTAATTATTAACGAGGTTGTCCCACCACATGCACTTTGTGTTGTAATTAAAGATCAATTTTGCAGAAATCTTCAAAACACTAAACTTGTTGAACTGCACGCGAAAAACAACCGCGTTAGTATTTTCAATGGTACCGCCCTGGAACTCCTACCAGACAGTCTTAAAAGGGTATATATGACTGGAAATAGGTTTAAGTATGGAATTTACATTGGTTCCATTGCATTTTTAAAAGGATTAGAAGAAGTCTACTTAGGTGGCCCATTTAGTTCGGAAATGCCATTTCCACACATTCCAGAGCTGTTACAAACATCAACCTATAACGACTGCAGTGATTGTGAAAATTTACACTTTGCATATACGCCTGACAAACACTCTTCTTCTCCTCTTGCAATGCCCAATCATTATCCCGTTAAAATCAGTTTACCACCGAACCTCAAAACGGTGTCCTTTACTTCTTCCCAAATGTATTACCATATACAGAACGTTAGGGTGAGCAATAACAGCATCACAGAAATTGATGTTTCAAGGAATCTTTTAACGGAATGGAACGGCAACATTTCGGGACTTGAAAAGGTTGAAAAATTAAATATTTCAGGAAACATTGCACATAATGTCGGTGTGGGTTTCTTCCCATCGTTTAAGAAGCTAATAACCCTTGATATTTCACATAACCAATTAGGAGGTGTGTTAACAAAGAGTGACATTTTCCACGGCTTGAGTACACTTCAGACTTTGAACCTTTCACATAACTTCATCACGAAATTGTCACCTAAAGTCTTTAGCGATCTGTCATCATTGACTGAGCTAAAACTGTCAAGGAATAGCATTCAAGAACTGCAGTTTAACATCGCTCATATGAAAAACCTCACAGTCCTAGAATGTTCAAAGAATCAAGTACAAAAGCTCAACCGCAGGTTTAGGGCGAACCTGGACGAAATCTCGAATGATCACGTAATTAAGGTGGATCTATCCCAAAACCCTATTCTCTGTACATGTTCTAACCTTCCTTTTCTATCCTGGATGAAAACATCCAGTATGAACGGTAGAATTTCATTTGGACATCTTGAAAAGTATGAATGTCATTATGAATATGGTCACAGAGTAAACCTGCATAATCTTGAGGAAGTTGTAAGAGAATTGGAGATGTCTTGCTATTCCTATTCCGGGTTCTTTATTGGTAGTTCACTAGTTTTATTTGTTTGTCTCTCTTTCTTAACGTGCTCACTGCTGTATAGATTTCGTTGGAAGTTGAGATATATTTACTATGCAGCAAGACATAGATACAGTTCAGATGAGCCATCAAACCATGAATTCGTTTTCGATGCCTTTGTTTCCTTCGCAGAAGAAGATCGCGACTTTGTTGTTAATGAGCTTCTTGTGATGCTAGAGAACGAGTCACACATGAGACTGAACTTCCATCAGCGGGACTTCACCCCTGGTCGTCCTATAGCTCATAACGTCATCAAAGCTGTCAAAACTAGTAAAAGAACACTGGTTATCCTGTCCAGTCATTTCTTAAAGAGCTCCTGGTGTGTCCACGAGCTTCAGATGGCTCACATGGAGAGTGTGTCTACTGGCAGGGACGTGCTGCTGATTATTATGATGGAACACATTCCAACCAACCAAATCCCAGTGGAAATATTGTATCATATACAGTCGGATTCCTACATTGAGTACCCACTGGAAGGGGAGAGGGACGTGTTCTGGAGGCGTCTCATTGCTTCCCTCAAGGAATAATGGACCCGATAGGAACTGTTTGCAGTGTTTATATGTTGTGGATTGATATGGCAGACACAGAAGTGGATATTCTCGTATGTCCTCAAATGCATCGGGAGTTAACAAACACACGTGCACAGGGAACAGCTATGTTCTATTTATACAATATTGTATTTATGCATTATGTGGTGCTGTGCACATACGATATGTTCGTAAATCTATTCCGAATGATTAAATGTTTGTATAAAGATGTACCCTCTGTACATTATGAAATACATTAATTTGTAGTTAAAATGGAAGATATTGATGTGATGTTCATGTATAAACACATGTGATTTTTGCAGGTTCAGTTAATGGAATTACACAGTACATGAATAATTATGCATGTATGCAAGTATTGGATCACGTGTAAGTTAATGTTGGCTTTGAATTGACTACACGATTCACTTATGAACAGGTGTTCACAAGGCAGATTGGTCTGAGCCTGTAAATAATCAAGTATGATTATTAAAACAACGGACTGAAATCATGGGTCCCGCCCTGACGTTCAGCCAAGTCAGGGAGTGAGTGAGTGAGGTTTACCGCCGCCGTGAACAGTATTCCCATTATATCCTGGTGTGTCAATAATGCGGGAAGGGGCGCAGGTATCAGATTGACGTTTACCAGTCTGAGATTTAAACCCACAAAGATGTTCCGGGAGGGCCGATGGGACACAACTCTGCATAACGCCTCAGGCGACTATACCATGCGTGATCCAACCAAGTCAAGAAGTCTACCATTCTATTTATTTTAGTCGCCACTTACGACAGGCAATATGGAGGTGGTGTTTTTTGTGCCTATATCATGTACAGTTTTATTTATTGTGCATATTATGATTCAACAGCTTTGATTGATGTTTGACATTTTAAGAGGCTGTACATACCCTGTTTATTGTAACCGTTTCATATATCGTGATATGTATTTTTTTCTGAAGTAAACTAGAGACGCATATATGTTTTGTAGAAACCTAATGGTTATTCGATGGTGATGCATTTCATACAGGCATCACAGTGCCGTGGGGTAGCCTAGTGGTTAAAGCGTTCGATCGTCACGCCAAAGACCCGGGTTCGATTCCCCACATGGGTATATTGTGTGAAATCCATTTTTGGTGTCCCCCGCTGTGATGTTGCTGGAATAATGCTAAGTGTGGCGTTACAACATATTCAGTCCCTCATTCACTGGAAATAAGACAAGTATAACTTTCATAAGTATCTCAAGATTGAGTTGTCTGACAAATTGCTCGGACCACATCTCTTTTCATATGTACATGTTCTTTTGCCTGCCTGTTTATATTACTGCACTTACGTTGTCTAGTGTATTATTATTAGATGTCATTTGAATTATTATTTGAAAATAGATGCCAGTTGTTTACGAGTCAATAAAATGTCACAAGCCACCTATTTTATGTTGTTTGATTTACAAGTGATAAACTGCAACACCGACTTCAAATAGTTGGCCCCGTGAGGACGGGTCGTCAGCAACCCATGCTGGTTGTAAGAAGGAGATCGGGTGGTCAAGCTCGCTGACTTGGTTGATGCATGTCATCGTATCCCAGTTGCTTAGATCGATGATCATGATGTCAATCACTGGATTGTCTGAACCAGTCCCGATTATAGTCCGTTTGGATCAAAATCGGACCGATGAATTGCAATCGAACTCGAAACTACTAAACATAGAATACGCAATGAAACACTGATCATAATCATAACATCAGACCAACTCTCTGATTTTCTTGCTGAATTTATTACCTAAATATAACAAAGTTGTTTAGCAAATTATCATTAAAATTTTAACACAGTTAACTATTTGTTACGAGGGAGGACTGCAAAGGGAGGAACTGTGTCAAGATTTTAATGATAGTTTGTTAAACAACTTTTTTAATTTTATGACATAAATTCTGCAAAAATATCACAGAGCTGGTCTGATGTTTTGATTATGATCAGTGTTTCATTGAGTACTATATGTTTAGTAATTTTCGAGTTAGAATTGCAATTCATGGGTCAAACGGACTATACCCACGGTAACAGCTGAGATGTTGGTAAGTGCGGCGTAAGAAACAAGAAACAAACAAACAAATAGTTCAAAAGCTCACCTTGTCACCAGATATACTGAACCACACAAGGATTTACGTCACGCAGCCTTGTATTGGTGTGTAATTTTGTGAGGCCATCTTAGACTAGTCAAATTTCTCAGAAATATGAATACATGAGGCATTTTTTAGTAAAAGCAAGCAAACAACATGTTCTGGGGTAGTTTTTCGTGCTGAATACGAATCTGTTGTTTCCTAAGCTCAACAATGCCTAATTAGGTCACAAATTGGGTTCAAAGGTCAATGAGTGCAAAATTCAATTTTTTTTTAAAAGCATAAGTATAAAAGCATTCGTGTGGCATACATGTAAAAATGCCTATCGCTTCCTGTCACACTCATTAACCTTTGAAGTAATTATGCGCTTAATATGCGATTTTTGTGATCTAAACAGTTTGCCTGGAATAATACTGTCAACAAAAGGAAGAGATTCAGCCTTGCTTTGCATTTTAAGCAAAAATGCTTGTAAAAAGTAGCCCTTCACACAAATACTAAAAGTCGCTCCATAAGGGAGATATTTGCAAAAATACGAAATTTTTCCTTCAGCATTTCCATGAAATCCAACATTTTGAAATCCTGTGGTACCTTTATTAATCAATATATTGTAAACTGAGTCATTGTATGGATGGAGAATGATAAATAAAACACATATTTTAAAAATTGTTTGCACTCATTGACCTTTGAACCCAATTTGTGACCTAATTAGGCATATTTGAGCTTAGCAAGCAACAGATTCGTATTCAGCACGAAAAACTACCCCAGAAAATGTTGTTTGCTTGCTTTTACTCAAAAATGCCTCATGCATTCTTAAAATCCACATTTCTTAGAAATTTGACTAGTCTATCTGACATTATTGTACAAAATACCCGTGAAGGTCCGGGTTAGAATTGGCCTTCAGTAACCAATGCTTGTCGTAAAAGGCGACTAACGGGATCGGGTGGTCAGGCTCGCTGGCTTGGTTGACACATGACATCGGTTCCCCATTGCGAAGATCGATGTTCATGCTGTTGGTCACTTATTGTACAAAAAGTCACTCATACAATGGCACAAGACAGGGAACATTTGCTTTACACATGGTACCCATTTTGAGTATACGAATCAGAATTGTCAGTTTAAATAGTGACACCTGACTACCATAGGCCAAAGAACAAATCCGTTGTAAGACAGATTCGGCAAATAAAGTTACCATGGCTTTCTTCCACCCTCCAAAAAGATGTGTTAAAACTCCATTTTGAATATTTACTAATATGCTGATGAACCTTATTGACATTAGAAATAATGATTAATACTGCTCCAAACCCTGTCAAGTTCAACCACATTGCAGTCAGCAAATCTTTCATTTTTCGATCTCCACACCCGTCTCCTTCCATCATGAAAATCTGGATTCGCCTGCGAACAAAATGTTCATCTACATTCACTTGTTATTGTACAAATTCAAGTCGATTTCTTCTGTGATGTACAACTGGTCTACGGGCACGCAGATTGTGAGAGTGAAGTCTATTCCTAACGGTCTTATCACGGATCCGAATGCCAGTCACATTTCTGAATTCAGAATTTATCGTTTAACAGTTATGTCTGTTCTTTTGGCAATGTCTACCATTTGTCGGTCCTTGAGTGGAGTAGTTCTCCTGCAACGTCCGCTCCTATCTCTCTTCTTAACTGATTCCTATGCTGTTCACGTAGTCTGACATTAAGCCTTCCCTGACTTCCCTAAATGTAAGACAGGCGTCCAAAAGGCCAATGGCTTGGGCCGCTTCTTCTGTGCCTTCTATTAGGCATTTTGGGGGTTGATTTTACAGAACCTAGCTCATCAAAAGACGGCCATTCAATGTGATTTGTGTAGGCTAAGCAACTCTAACATGTCCTGTCTGTCTCTGGAAATCCGTGTGTTTCCTTTATAACGATCATCTTCAACTGTCACGAACTACACGAACTATGTAAGAAAGATAACTATGGTGGTGGACTGGGGCCATAATTTCAAAATTCAAACTTCGGAAAATAATGTCACCATCCCAGAAAGATTTAGTGGTCCTTAACTTGTTTTGCTCAGTATTGACAGATATATTATTCAGTTAAATATTTTCTTTATGGGCACATGTATCCAAAATGTCACTAATTAGTGGAGTTCTTTATGGTCATCCAAATGGTAGCAAATAGAACATAGAACAACTACGAACGGAAGATACCAGTACGGAAATGACTCTTGCTAAAAACAATACTCTACTGGGTGAATCACAGTTTAAATGTCTGACTCGGTGAATGCATTCTCTGAGCGACGGATATCCCTGTCCGAATGGGCTTATCACGCCTTAACAATTGGCCAAAGCCTGTCACAGTTACCTCCCTTTTCCTAAACCTCTACGAAGCCTGTGTAGATTCTTCACTGACGGCTGCGATCGATAAGACCCCAACAGGGTGCAGTTTTAAAGAGGACAGTGGCATTTTACAAGAGACGCCGACATAACCTGTGATACACAATAAGGTATGTGCTGTACAGCCAGTAACTGTCGTCCGTGTACGAAAGATCGGGAAGTGTCTCCGTTTGTCACAACTTGTCAGATTGTGAGATACTGGCGAGGGAAGGTAAATCGAACTCTCAGATAGTGAGTTGTATAACTAATCGATAATGTTCTTAGCACGCTCGTCCCTGCGTGAAAGTATGAGGAAATGGAATAATCTGTGTTTATCAACATGTGATCACTCAACAACACACTGCCATGGGCGTGGCCCGCTCACACAGTCACCAGGTTGTACACCTTACTGGCACACGATTGCGCATGGGCACAATACAGGTCATGACCCCAGGCGCTACACGGCTGTTGAAATGAGATTACCACTGCGCTACTCTGATAGCTGGTCCTTGAAACCTGACTATATACCATAGAAAGCTGATGATATACCTAGAAAGCTGATTATATACCTTAGAAAGCTGATTATATTTGGTGGTAATATTTGGATTTTGACATTAATACTGATCATGAAAACGGAAGCAGTGAACAGTGTTGACAATTCGTCTCAGCTTTTACATTTACAACTTAGGAACTACAAAATGTTTGGGGGTAGACATTACTGAGTTAGTCAAAGTCCCGTATTACTCCTAGGCCAAATGTAGAGATAACCTCATTATCAGGTAATATGATACACCAGGCCTTATCACCCATACTGCATATATCCTGATCATGTTGAACATCAGTGCTTGTCACCGTCCATTTAACCATGCGGTTAATACTCATGAAGATGGTCTATGAACATGTGGACACTGTTTCAACAGCGGGGTAATCCTTGTTTGTTTTCAGCAACCTGATACATTCTGTGTCTAGTTGACATGAATCTCTGGAGTGTGGGAGTTGTCATACCAATTACTGGATAACGCTTTTACTGCTGCTGAGAGATCCTAAACGACTTTTCTAACATTTGGCTTAGGACTAGTATGTGTGCCCAGATTTCTGTCGTTATGACTTTATTGAAGAGGTGTCTGTGTTGATGTTGTTGTTGTAATTATTTGAGATAGGGAGAGAGTACTGCGAGTGAGTGTATGCATGTATGTGTCACCGTATTATGCTCTGCAGAGTTGCGTCCCTTTAGTTAAACAACAACACTTTCTTTGACAGTGGGTTCGATAACCCCCACCCCACCCCCCTTAATATGTATCCGTGTTTTCAAATTTACATTACATAGGGTTAACCGCTCAAATTAAGCTGAGGGCGGTGGGGTAGCCTAGTGGTTAAAGCGTTGGCTCGTCACGCCGAAGACCCGGGTTCGAATCCCCACATGGGTACAATGTGTGAAGCCCATTTCTGGTGTCCCCCGCCGTGATGTTGCTGGAATATTGCTAAAAGCGGCGTAAAACCAAACTCAGTCAGTCAGTCAAATTAAGCTGATGTTATTCAAGGCCCACATTCACGCACTTACCCACACTCATCTTAGTATTCAGTGTAGAAATCACGGAATTTAATTATAAATCTTGGCAATTAATGCGATCTGTACATTCATAGACGGTGGATACAAATCTTGTCACCATTTAACAACATTGGCACTATATTGTTACTGTATTTGCACAATATGTCATATTGGAGTTTGTGCAGAGCATTAATCATAGGCGTCACACACACGCACGTACGCACGCGCGCACACACACGCACACACACACACACACACATGCTCAGGACTGTGCACCTCCACATTCTCAAAAAGCTGTATCCGCCCCAGTTAATACTGATATCATATCGTTTTCCAGAGCTCATGTAGTGCTGTTCCAGATGTCGGGATCAGTGGAAGAGAAGCCCGTTGACTTCCTGACTTGTCGAGTGTGCAATACTGTATACAAAGACCCGTGTACACTGAGGTGTGATCACACATTCTGCAGGAAATGTGTCACCTCATACATCCAAACCAGACCAGATGCTGTACAGGCCAAGACCATCCCTTGTCCCTGCTGTCGACAAGACACCGAGGTCCCCCACCCCAGCAGGCCGGTGGGGGAGTGGGCGGGGCAGATCAAACCCAGCATCATTATACAGCGGTTGACAGACATACACGACACTGAGCATATGAGAACAGGTATTTCGTTCATAATGCTGTTTTAGTGAGTGAGTAAGTGAGTTTAGTTTTACACCGCACTCAGCAATATTCCAGCTATATGGCGGCGGTCTGTAAATAATCGAGTCTGGACCAGACAATCCAGTGATCAACATCATGAACATCGACCTGCGCAATTGGGAACAGATAACATGTGTCAACAAAGCCTGCGAACCTGACCACCCGATCGCCTCTTACGAGAAGCATGGGTTTCTGACGGTGCATTCTAACCCGGACCTTCACGGGTGTAATGCTGTTTTAAAACTTGAGATATATGAATGATTATAAAGAGGGGTATGTCGCTATGTTTAATTTATGTTTAATGTATGATAAGGGAAATACATTCAAGTCAGTGCAATTCGCTTTAACTGCATTGTCACAGATGTGACATACAACAGAGTAAATGTTTCATCTGAAATGCTGTTCATTCAATATTAACAAAATTCTACATATGTTATAAGGTTTGGTACATCATTGAGATTACATGTGTCAAACTGATGGTTTATTTTTAATTCAAACAGTTTTATAACTCACTGAAAATGTTCGCTTGCAGATACGACTGAGACACAACACTGCTATGTGTGTTGGGAACTAGGGGAGACAACTCTTGCAGCTCTGTGGTGCCCTGACTGTGAAGTGCCGCTCTGTGACAGATGCGTACGGACACATCGTGCAACCCCTGCTTCTCGTGAGCACCAGCTTACCGATTTTTCTAGGAAGCCCAGGCGGAAAAGGAACCGGAATTTGTTGTGCACAGAGCACACGGATGAGCAAGTAAAATTTCTATGCATGGATTGTAGAAAACTGATCTGTCAGTCGTGCAGTGTTCTTCACCATCGGAAATGCGAGGCTGTTGTCACGATCAAATCACAGCTTCCGCTGCTGAAGTCTGGGTTAGTCATGAAAAGGAAGATCATTCAAAACGCTCTTCAGAACAAAAGGACTAAGAAATCAAATCATGAATTAAAAATGAAACGATTGGCAGAGACGAATCGGTTCATATGTGGAAATATTCGGGCGACTACGGAAGCAATTGTTGAAAACATTAAACTCAAGGAACAACAGCTGTTAGATGAACTGGATGCCATAACGAGAAATATCTCCAGTGACACTCGTGCATTTTTGGAACTCGAAGAGATTGAGATGCAGGTGTACAGACAACATTGTGAATTCATCGACCACGCCTTGGTATCGGACTGTGAGATGGACCTGTATGACGCGTATCAGGCCTGGGAGTCTGGAGCTAAAGACTCAGGTGAGTGTTCTTACAAGGAGGACACAAGGAAAATGGATGACATCAGGTTTACACCAAACCTTGACAACGTCCAGAACATCCTAGATGACCTTCAGCTGGGAAAGATTGATGTAACGTATGAAGAGGAGCAGAAAGCACCTTCTCATTGTTTGTTATATGACGCGATGGACGGACGGACAGACGCTAATGAACCGGAACCGTACCTACGTGACAATACTGTTCTTGTCGTCAACGACACGGAGACAGTTGTAGTCACCGACTGGAATGAGCAGAGCGTGAAATCTTTCTACACAAGAAAGGATAATTTATGCCACAGCAAAATATCCCTCCACAACTCTCCATTTGCAGTGGCCCATTTCAAGGAAGACCAGGTTATTGTCACGATACCAAGATCTCGTCAGATGGTAACAGTTCAAGTAACCCCTGATCTACATCTGCTTTCAACTATCCACAGCACGAAGGGGTACTACAGCGTTGCTGTCCTGAATCCCTCGTCCTTAGTTGCGGGCGCCATTAACTGTGTGGACATCTTAGATATGAAGGGCAACGCTTTAAGGTCTATCACCGGGCCTGGGGGTGAGTTACCCTTCACCTACCCGTACTACATCAACGTAACCAGCAAGGGTAACATACTCGTGTCTGACTGTTGGAAGGGTGTAGCAAAATGTCTGACGTCAGAGGGTGATGTTGTGTGGACATACGCTCCAGGGGACGACAAGGCAATCAGCGATCCTTGTGGAGTCGTGGCGACCCGCACAGGATATGTTCTTCTTGCAGACAGGCGTTTGAACAAGGTCGTGCAGCTGACAGAGAAGGGGAGGTTTGTCCGAGATGTAATTACAACACGGGATGATGTCAAGTCACCATTGGGGCTCTCTGTGGACAGACATGGGTCCTTATGTGTGTGTGATAAAGACGGCATCAAACGATATATTCTGATGTTATGATACTGATACACGTACCTGGAACTCACATGGATATGTCGTATCTTCGACGTGATGATCACGACTTCACTAGGACTGCAAGGTATTACCGGTATACCGCCATAAGTTTCAAACAATACGTATAATTGTAATGCTTTTTCTGAGAACCGATCTATAGGGTAAAGAACATGTATGAACTTTTTGTGATTATATTATGGTTTAAATTATAATATACACAGACTTTCATTCACAACAAATGTTTTACTTCGTTATTCGATGACAAAACGACTTACTGTAAAACTATTAAAAAACTATAAATTTAGAAAATAGGATCCCTGGCTATGCAACTTAAGTTTAGTTTGAGAATGCTGTTATCACAACCATAACGTATATTTTTTAGGGACTTAAAATGTAGCTCGACATGTACAATTGATGTCAGCTAACACCTAAGTTCGCAATACAATTTACTTGAAAACACACTGCCCTAGTCATCACTGGGTCTCTCTCTCTCTCTCTAGATAGAGTGTATCAGTGAAATTTATCAAAATAATAAGTTAAGTTATAAGATCCATCCACAACCCAGCCCTGAGAGTAGTGGATCTCAACTGTAGGTGAGGTGAGGTGAAATTGGGTTAAACGTCGTGCTTAAGAATATTTCGCTCATATGACGACATGCTGCGTCTGTATGTGTATGTGCGGCTGCTTGTACTAGCCCAGACTGAAGCTGGTTTTAAAGTGCTAGCCCACTGAGATACCATGCCGCAGTGAAGCATGAATACCCCACTCAGACACATTATACTGACTCCTAGCCGACCAGTCCTTGTTGTACCCATTTAAGCCGAGCGCCAGGCAGGGACCAACAAGTACCATATTTTAACATATTTTGGTATGACGCGGTCGGGGATCGAACCCGCGACCTTCCGCTCTCCGGGCAGACGCTCTAACCACAACACCACGGAGGCGGTCGGATATCAACTGTAATAATTATGTTTGTAATTGTAATCAAAACCAAGTAAAATTGAAGTCATAATAATTATGTTTGTAATACTTCAATAGCGCGCAAGGAGTATGCTCTAAGCGCAATGGGCAGTGTGCACAACAACCCAAGATGCCTCTAAGACGAATTTTTGACAAAGTTACATGTGAGACCACGTGTGCTTCGTTGATGGGCAGAACTGAAGTCCAAGAAACTCTCAAGAGACAAGCGGCCAAACATATGGTTTACTTATCCAAAGGCTTGAACAACGTTGCTTAACTCAACTGACTTGTGACCAGTGCTCATTGCACGGAACCACACAGGACCACACCCATCAGAAAGTAAGTGCTAAATCAATACATGCTGGTTATAAGAATTATTGATTACTCACGGCGAGGCCATTAAGGGAAAGCAAGATCCCGAGGTTCAGACCACAGAACACAGGCCTTGTTGAAACAGCCTCGCACAATCACGTGACTGCTGATCATCCGTCGGAGTGAGTGAGTGTGGTTTTACGCCATTTTTAGCAATATTCCAGCAATATCACGACAGGGAACACCAGAAAAATGACACATTTCCTCGACTAACTCCATTTGTATTGAAAAGGAGAGTTAGATAATCAAATTATTTGTTTTGTTAGTTTGTTGTTTAACGCGGCACTAAGCAATATCCCGGTCTCTAAATATCTGAGTGTCGACCAGGCTCTCGCATCTTGAGTGAGTGAGTGAGTTTGGTTTTACGCCGCTTTTAGCAATATTCCAGCAATATCACGACAGGGGACACCAGAAAAATGGGCTTCAAACATTGTACCTTTGTGGGGAATTGAACCCGGGTCTTCGGCGTGACGAGCGAACGCTTTAACCACTAGGCTACCTAACCGCGGACTATAACCACCACATCAAAACTAAATGATGATGTTTATCGCCAGAAAAACCAGACTTTATTTCATGATTCTGTTTCAAGATGCGAGAGGGGCGGTGGGGTAGCCTAGTGGTTAAAGCGTTCGCTCGTCACGCCGAAGACCCGGGTTCGATTCCCCACATGGGTACAATGTGTGAAGCTCATTTCTGGTGTCCCCCGTCGTGATATTGCTGGAATATTGCTAAAAGCGGCGTAAAACCAAACTCACTCACTCACTCAAGATGCGAGAGCCGTACTTCCACACTGTATTATTATGAGGTCGCACTTCCCTCTTAAGGACGTCATGTCTTCAACGTGATGACACTCTCTATACACTCGGAATCTCACACCGCTACAGTAATCATCTACGATTCGATCCTGGAACCATCGTTTTCATGAGATTTGGTCGCTTGTGACTCCCCACGAGTCGGGAATTCGCAGTTAGCTCCCTTATATATTATGCAGACGAGGCAGGTGGGCACTGTTGAAGATATCGGCAGCGTTTCTATTTTAACGCTTCCAGGAATGACTGTAAACCGCACGCAGTACATATGATGAACTAGCGTTTGTTAAGAACATCCAAATAGTCGTTTCTAAAGGTATGTATTGCTCAAAGACTGATCGTGTTGTGTATTCACGCAGGCATGCCTGATTGTAACTTCATTCGAAGAGAGTATCATGCCAGCTAGTATTTCTTGTATGAACATAGGTTTTGTTAAATGCAAGCATACTGACAACGTAACGGTTTCATATTATTAAGAATTTCATATTAATGCACACAACAGAAATATAATGACTTGTCACGCATACGATCGATCGCAGTTACTACTGAGTTACCTCCCTTGTATATTGACAGACTGGTGTGAGGAATCCTTGGTGCTAGCGGAAGTGGGTTAAAATCCCTTCAAAAGACACTTTGCGTTATATGTTTATGTATCAATAACTACACTCCCACATTCGCTCCAGTGTATTACTGCGATTAATGTAATAAAATATGGTATTGAACAAATCAAACGATACATACGTCTCGGACTGCTAGTTTAGCATCATGTAAAAATAACACATGTAAAATAATGTATTCCAGCATCACTGTGGAATTTTTTAACAATTACATGGAACAGTTCTTCTCTATTATTCTATAATTTCTATATCTTTGGTTGATTTCATGAGACTATTGAAACAATATCGGATATAACGAGTGACTACTGATATTGGGTTGAATATAACCTCAGTATTCGAAGCGTATCACAAGGTAGACTAAAATATTAAACGTTTATTTCAAAGTAACTGGGGCGGTGGGGTAGCCTTGAGGGTACAGCGTTAGCTGGTCACAACAAAGATCCGGGTTCGATTGCCCACATGGGTAGCCCATTCCTGTGTCCTCCGCCGTGACACGGCTGAAATAAAGGGGCTTAAAACTTAAGTCACTGACACCCTAACGTGGCTGTGTATCCCCGAAGCCCCCTTGTTACTAGCGCTTAGAGCACCCACTAAGTGGTTGGATTTAGCGCTGTATACATTTTTAGTATTTTTAATATTATTATTAGATTCGGCGTTCATGCTATCGGCAGCTGATTTTTTATCGGTACTCCACAAATACAGGCAGCCTTCATGTATTAGACATATGTACTGCTGCGGCCTAAAAAAATATTCGTTTATAAGATACAAACTCGCCGTTTTACATTGACAACAACACATATGTTGAACTCAGTAAGATAGTCTTAGATTGTCTACACCAACCTTTTATTATGTATGATAAACTACATATACAGCGACGGGAACAGCTGTTCCGCCAGAGTAAGTTGTGTGACTTTTCATACCAACATATGCTGTTTTACAGATGGCGTCGTGGAATGAGAAAGTCACAGAATTCCTGACCTGTGTGATCTGCCAGGAACTGTACACAGACCCGTGTACACTTAAGTGTGATCACACATTCTGCAGGTAATTTGTCTCGCAGCCCCTGAACTACATTAGTTTCCCATCCGCCAAACTCTGGCCAAACTTTTCCCAACACATCAGCCTTAATGAAGCAAGTCTAGATTCTAGATTTCCCTCCCCAGGATCTCCATCTCCGACCCGTGAAGATCCGGGTTAGAATGGTCTCCAGCAACCCATACTTGTCCTAAGAGGCGACTAACGGGATCGTGTGTCAGGCTCGCTGACTTGGTTGACACATGTTATCATCATGCTCATGATGTTGATCACTTGATTGTCGGGCGGTGGGGTAGCCTAGTGGCTAAAGCGTTCGCTCGTCACGCTGAAGACCCAGGTTCGATTCCCCACATGGGTACAATGTGTGAAGTCCATTTCTGGTGTCCCCCGTCATGATATTGTTGGAATATTGCTAAAAGCAGCGTAAAACTAAACTCACTCACTCACTGGATTGTCTGGTCCAGACTCAAATATTTATAGACCGCCGCCATATAGCTGGGATATTGCTGAGTGCCCCGTTAAACAGCAAACTAACAAAACAAACAATCTGATTATCTACCTCTCCTTTTCAATACAAATGGAGTTACGCATTCCTGTTAAAATGATATATATGGTAAGTACTTGTCTAATTCTGCAGGAAATGTGTCACTGCATACGTCCAAACCAGACCAGATGCTGTGAGGACCAAAACCATCCCCTGTTCCTTCTGTCGACAAAATACAAAGGTCCCCCACCCCAGAAGGCCGGTAGAGGAGTGGGCGTGGCAGATCAAACCCAGCATCATTATACAGGGGCTGATTGACATACAAGCTGAAGCGACCGATGGGGGTAAGAAATATACACAGTAATGTTACGAACCGACAGCAGTTGGTTTTTATAACATATGTTATATTTGGGATTACACTTTCTTAGTAAAGTACAAATTCTAGTACTTTCATAGCAGTTTGTTTTGTTTTCCCGAAATTGTTTATGAGAACGTATGTGTTCGAGAAAAAGTAACCATGTTTGATAGATGTTACTGTAAGGTAAGTGTAAGTTTGAAGGGCAAAGAATGAGTGAGTGATAGAAGGAAGGACGGATAGAAAGAAGGAAAGAATTTCCTCCTCTTAAATCCGAAGATATATACCACAAAAAGTCATACATATCACAACATTGTCCTGCACATATACAAACAGTGCAAGCTATTGGATTCAAATTTCAGTCCCATTCTAAGAACACCGCCACAGATATTACCTCAACAGTGGTGAGGTGACGTAGGGTTTAACGTCGAACTGGAGAATATTTCGCTCATATCACTACGTGCATGCGTGTGTATGTGTACATTTTTGTATGTGCGGCTGCTTGTATTAGCCCAGACTTAAGCTGGTTTTAGAGTGCTAGCTCACTGAGATACCATGCCGCAGTTAAGCATGAATACCCCACTCATATATACTGACTCCGAGCCGACCAGTCCTTATTGTTCCCATAAATGCCACGCGCCAGGCAGGGACCAACAAGTACCATATTTTAACGTCTTCCGCTCTCTGGGCGGGCGCTCTAACCACTACTCCACGGAGGCGGTCCCCCTCAACAGTAATACTCCTGGAATTAGATGCCAAGTTGAATCATACACCACATGCTGTTTAAAACTGATATTCAGTCAACACTTTAATAGCCCCAGGAATATTTTCGCGAGTAATTTTCTGAATTATATTTGTTTAGAGATACAGAATTCAGATTGCAGTTTTTCACCTAAAATAATTACTGGGCTGCCAAAATGTACATCGTGAAGAAAATTATGTTTCGGAAGTGGTTGGGAACGTTTGCAAGAACGTACAGCGTACAAACTGTATCACAACATACACCCACCGTGTTAAAAAATAGTTTACCCAATTCGATTTCTTGCCCTATATACACACTGTTTTCCCCTACAATCTGATCAAGCTGTAGAACGAAATACTGAGATAATACACAAGTTAAGTAAAATTATGGTTAATGTAGACTACGAATTAAGTACCTGTTAATATGTGCGGTTGTCAATGACGATAGTTCTTTCTTTGACTTATGATGCAGAAGAAGGAGCCACAAAAAAGAGACACATTACATAGAAATATAAGCAACTTAGTGGTAGTTTCGTAAATACACCTATTGATATGAATCTGATATTAAAATGGAAGTGAAGCCTTACCAAACCAAGAGTAATATGTTCAATTATGTATGGACAGATATAATTTGTAAATACAAACATATGTAAGTTGTATTGTCCTCTCTTGCCTTTTCTGTGTTACTTTTTGTTCATGGAGAGTTTAACCGTGTAAATATCTGTCAGAAGATGTCCTAAGTTGGAAACTTGTACATACAATGTTGCCGGGACTGAACGAGTAGTCCGGATTATGGAGAAAACCGCATTACACAGAGTCTGGATTTGACGGATTCCACTGATATGGTCGGCTAAATGCTACACTAGTACTCATAATTAAGTAGCTTCGAAGCTGATTACTACTTTTGGGGAATAGAAAACACACCCGACACGACCTCTGATATTAGAACAGAGTTGTGTCATATCAGATTAAGGAAAGTGCTGTTCATTGAAACTGGTTATATACACATGCATGTCCTATATAATCATACAACAATGATTTCATTCGCAGGCACAAACGGCAAATGCTGCACATTATGTGGACAGCTAGGGGAGACAACTCCGGGCAATTCCTATTGTCCAGACTGTGAAGTTACTCTCTGTGAAAGATGCGTCAAGATGCATTATGCTAGTCCATTATCTAGTGACCATGAACTTTGTGACCTATCAGAAGAGGTCAAGGTCAAGAAGAGGCGCAAGGTCATGTGTCGTGAACACCAGGATAAGAGAGTGGAATATCTCTGTAAAGACTGCAACAAGTCCCTGTGTCAGTCCTGCTGTGTGGTCTACCACAGGAAATGTGACTCTGTCGTCACAATCAATTCACAAGTGGAAAGAATGAAATCGGAGTTAGCTCTGAGAAGAAGTATTTTACAGACAAAATGCCTTGGCAAAAGCAAAAGGATAGAGAGACATAAATTAAAAATAAATGAAATACAAGACGATAAAGCATCCCTACAAGAAGAGATTCACGTTAACGCCGATAGAATCATAGAGCACATCAGGCAGAAGGAAAAGAAGTTGTTAGATGAATTGGATGAAATAACTGAGGAACACCTCATCCAGATCCATGCTGATGTAAAGCTTGAAGAAATCGAGATGCAGATGTACAGACAACATTGTGAGTTCATTGACCAAGCCTTGGTATCGGACTCAGAGATGGACTTGTTTGATGCGTTTCAGGCCTGGGAGTCTGGGACTGTAGAACTTGGTGGTAGGGACACGGACGTAGCCGACACTCGGAGAATTGATGACATCAAAGTTACACCTGACATTGAGAAGGTCATCAATGACATCCAGATGCTGGAGATTGATGTCACATATCGCGATGGACTGGAGTGTTCCCCTGTCTTGTACCAAATTACTGACGCTGCTACAGAGGACGACCAGGTCACCCATGGTATGTTTGACACCACGGCACTTTACGTAGACGGTGTGCAAATTATTGTCATCACTGACTGGGAAAACATGTGTGTGAAATCTTTCTGGATCAGAAACGGTCTTCAGAATCACAGTAGACTTCCCCTGGATTCTCCTCCTTGGGGAGTGACCAAGTTGAAGCAGATCCAAGTGATGGTTACGCTTCCTCACGCCCATCAGATTGTGACAGTAGAAGTGACTCCAGAACTGTTGCTGCTCTCAACCATCACAACATGTAAAGGGTACTTTAGTCTGGCTGTTCTGAGTCAGTCATCTCTGGCAGCAGGTGGTAGCGCCTGTGTGGATATCCTGGACATGGCCGGACACGTGTTGAGGTCAGTCACTACATACAATGATGACTCACTGTTTACCTACCCCGCCTACATGTGTGTCAACAACAAGGGCAACATACTCGTGTCTGACTGGGGAAGACGTCTGTGTCATGTCTGACGTCAGCAGGGATGTTGTGTGGAGATATGCTCCAACCGGACGCAGAGCTCTCAGTATACCTGCTGGTATCTCAACAACCAAAACAGGAGATATCATGTTTGTAGACAAGGACTCGAAATAATGATACAACTGAAGGACACGGGGAATACGTCAGTGATGTCCTCACTTCCCAGGACGGTATCAGCCAACCTCTTAGTCTCTGCATTGACAAACATGATTCTGTTATTGTCACTTGTGGACGGGAAATAAAGACGTATATTTTTATATAGCATCTGCGTGATGGAAGGGTATACCTAGTCTGTCTCTCAGTCCCCGATTTACATTATTTTGCCACCTTTGTCCAAGAGGTCATACTCACATATATATGTGTTTGAAAATATTTTATATATTAAGATATAATTTACAATTAAGAGTAAAGAATGTATCTGTATCTGTATTTTGCTGTTTGCTTGTGCGATGTGATTAATATTTATGTTGAAACATTTTTATAGAAGTAAAAACATAGAGATTGTGAAATGTGTACATGTATGTATATTCTGCATGGAAATTAATTAAGCATCTGATTGTTGATACATTCATGAAAACTGCGGATAGCACTGGAGTCCTGTGATCCACGTGTTTGCTTGTCACGCAGATAACCCGCTTCTGGTACTCCACAAAGGTGCTTCTTCCTGGTGTATCATTCTGTGATATGGTTAAATATATATAAACGAGACTCACTCACTCTCTCAGTATTCTGTCCGCTAATATCCAACACCTTACACTGGATCACTGCAGTTTTTGTTCTTTTGCAAACATGTTGAAATATAACACACTTCTAAATATTGTCATGTGTAGAAGATGCAGAATATCATGTAAGGGTTCATCTTGTATTTTAAACTGATTAAAGCCAATGGAACTTTTGTACACGTCAACCGCTAAATAAAGTGATCTTCATATTAATGAATTTGTTGATAAAGCACAACGACGCCTTGTGTATGTGGACGTGTGTGGGTGGGTGTGCCTCCTTCAATCCCTCATCAAGCATTTGTCATAACCAGGTTTCCAAACTGAATGATATGGCCTGAAAGTAGACATACGGATAACTGATCCTTTGCAGAACACTCTTTACGAAATGGAAAAATGTTCTACATCGAGGGTTGGTGACGTAGCCTAGTGGATGCACTCTCCAAACGTGGTCGATCCCAGTATGTCCAATACTGGTGACACCCGTGAAGATCCAGGCTAGAATTGGTCTTCAGGAATCCATGCTTGTCGTAAAAGGCGACTAACGAGATCGGGTGGTGAGGCTCGCTGACGTGGCTGACATATGTCATCGTATCCTCATTGCGTAGATCGATACCGATGCTGTTGATCACTTGATTGTCTGGTCCAGACTCGATTGTTTACAGACTGCCGCCATATAGCTGGAATATTGCTGAGTGCGGCGTAAAACTAAACTCACTCACTCATTCATATAAATGACAAAAGTTGTACGTACACTAAACGGAATGCATCCAATTGTGTGCATCTGTTGACATGATAGTAAAAGACAATATTCCGTAAAAGTCACGTTTAATTACTTGACCTCCACCTCATGGACGATAACGTTCATCCTAATCGAGTCAGAGCAATTGATACCTCTTTGGAGCAGGAGACCATCCCGGTCATATGTCCTCAACCAACAAATGTGGAACATTCTGCAGATATCCCGCATATATACGACACCCAATCCTAGCAACTCAGCAGTATCTTGGCAGTGCTCTTTCTAAAGAGTGGAACAGTCTTCCCATGGCAAAGTCCAGACACCTATTACGAGCATGACACGACCGTGCTTGGTTGTGATCACTTGATTCTAAGACTTGCCTCGGAGTTACTGAACTCATTTTTTTGTGATTTTCGTAATTGTTACTGTGGCAGTTCAGTTTTGATGAGATACTGAAGATTCATTTTGACAATCAAGATTAATTAAGACTTGGTGACATGCTGTTCGCATTGCATACTAGCGAACTTTTGTTCATTAAAGTTCGATTCCCTACATGGGAAAAATGTGTGAAGCCCATTCCTGGCGTCCCCACGCGGTGATGTTGCTGGAATATTGCTAAAAGCGGCGTAAAGCCATACTCACTCACAGATCACCTTTACTAACAAATAGCCCGTGCCTCAACGAATTAGGTTTTTCCTTTAGTTTGTCATTTGGGATTATGGTGTACAAAGTAAACTCGGTACGTTTCTGAGATTGTAAAATGTCATATAGAATATTTATCCATCAAAATACAGACAGTTCTTCTTTGATAGTGTAAAGGAATATAGTTAATATTTGAGACACAGACAATACAATAATCGGAGAGTGAACACTGCTTTCAGAAAGAAGTTGCACGTATGTTTGCCTACACTCGTCGTCTTCATACCAAAATGCACCCGTGATGATATATAACCAGGAAGGTTCATAACGAATAAATCACCCAAAAGTGCTGTCATCCTATAGGTTACACAAGACTATGTTTTCACATTGACTTCTATTGTCATGGGACCCGTAGAAGGCGAAGTCGTATGAGGCGACTAACGGGATCGGGTGGTCAGATTTGCTGACTTCGTTAACACATGTCATCGCATGGCATGGCAAAAATAAAGAGCCATTCAGCATGGGCAGTTATTATATAACAACTGTGCACAGTCTGGCTTAAACGCTGCAGTACATTGTCCCTTTTACGAGTACAGGAAGTTAAAACACACAGGCTGTAGTTCAGCACGTAAAGCCACCTACATGTACTGTTCCGCACCTCATCACCCGCTTTAAAATATCTATTGGAAAAAGGCAATACTATTTATTAAAAAGTATGTTTTTTTCTTAGGAGAAGAGTGTAAAGGTTTTAAAAAGTATAAAAAATCCTACGCTAAATCATCCAATCACAGCTGCCTGATATTTCAATCTTATATAGTAGAACCTGCACATAGCTGTGTATTACCGTTAGCTGCTTGCTTCAAGGCTTCCGGGACACGAGGTTTAGCTGACAAAGTGAATATGAAAAAAACAGTAAGTATTCATCAACTAACATCATACAGTATCAACTTTACAAGGTGTGGTATTTCATAAATATCGATTTTGTCTCGTGAACACACCCATTCAACACATATGAAAGTAATGTTAGATAAACTGAAACTATGACTTGTAAAGAAAGATCGTGTTTCGTATCATAAAACATGTAGGTATCTTAGGCTGGCCATAGGTTTACCGTTATAAGTTAGTTGTACAACTGTTTATGTATATACTTATGCAGTTAAACGATGTCGTTCGTGGACATGAACTATTGACATAATAAAAACTTAAACCTTTGACCACAACACATTGACCTTTACAGTTTCCTTCCCTGTAGTGTGGCAGTGATAGGGCATGTATACACAACAGGGAACTGAGGTCAATCAGTACTCCTTCGTGCAGAACTATATTGTTTTACAATATAGGATATTACTAATATTCAGATGCTCCAAATCCCACAGTTATCAGTACATACACTTTCAGGATTACCATTCTAATGGATCCAGCTGTGCTTGCATCTAGTGCAATGTTCCTACAAGCACCTTAAGCGGTCACTACAACAATGTGAACTCCTGTCAGTGTCTCTATTTTGTGTTGCCTTCAATTTATGTTGCATACATGGTGAGTAATTTCGAAACCAATGTACATTTAGTTCGTATTTGTTTGTTTTTTAACGCCGCACTAAGCAATATAAGCTATATGGCGGAGGTCTGTACATAATCGAGTCTCGACCAGACAAACCAGTGATCATCAGCAAGTCAGCGACCCTGACCACCCTATCCCTGCTAAGCATGGGTTCCTGTATACCAATACTAACACAGATCTTCAGGGGGGCTCAGAAAGTAAAAAACAATATGCTTGATCCACAGTTATCTTCCTTAATGGTACACCACTTGAAATTCTCCCACCATAGTTTCAGGAGTGACTTAGGGACGGTTCATAATTTATGGCTAATGGGGGTGATGATGATTTATATGGAGAAGCATGTACAATGTGAATGACCCCCCCCCCCCTCTAAGATTTATGTACAAAGTAAGTAACCCCCCTCCTTTGCAAGTCATGTACAAAATCAATGACCCCCTGCCTCCTCTTCCCATAATTTTGAAGTATAATTTTTTTATAATATTTATGTACAAAATTGCTGACCCCCCTAGTAGATGTGTACAAACTTGATTACCCCCCGCCCTACCTCCCAAGAACAAAATGGGTGACCCCGCCTAAAAATCATCACCACCTCCCCGCTTCTCCCCCTAGCCATAAACTATAAACGGTCCCTTATGTCTTGCAACCTGTCACCCATAACAATGCATGTACATAATATAAACTGATGTGCAAAAGAAAGTACACAGGTTGTGTTTCTTCCAATCAGATAAAAATAACAAAACCTTTTTTATGAAATGGAAAATGTATGTTGAAGCACACTGCAATACACGTGTTTTATCAACAAAATGACATTGTAACAATAAACAGCGATGTAGTGATGACTACTGCAGACGGTTCCTACGATGCTGGAAGGTCAAGGCCATTCCACGCAGCGGTCGGTAGGCCCATACGTGCCAGCAGGACGAAGTCGTCTTGTCACTGTGAATCGGCTTACGCGATGACCCAATGATGTGGCTGCTAATGACGTCACCGTCAACATCCAGTTGCGTAGGTGAATAACCCGCAGATAGCGATCCTCTTGGGGTGTTGTGACTCTGGAACGTCCACTTCTGGGTGGATCACATGTCTGGCCTGTCGTACTGAAACGGTTAAACAGCCGAATTATGGTTTGTCTTGTGCAACCCAATGTCCTTGCAATATCGCTGTTGAAAGCACCCATTTGTGTCATTCCTTTGGCCCGTTCTCGTTCCGCCGACGTCAATCTTGGCATTTTCTCGTGAGATTTCTGTCAAGTGATTGTTCAGTCTTCACGACAAACAGGTTTTATACTCTCTGTCAGAAACGTGCTGTTGCATGGGACAATAATCACAATTTTGCAAAAATTCGTGCAAAACACGTACAAATGTTTTTGATTGCATTTTGGCATATGAAACATGATGGTTGCGTTCTATACAATCAATGTTTTTCAATAATTTTATTAGTTAGAACCCATATTTGGCATTCCAACAACAATTACACCTGTGTACTTTCTTTTGCTCGTCAGTGTAGATGGATAAGCAGTACATGTAAATGGATGAACAGTACATGTAAATGGATGAGCAGTACATGTAAATGGATGAACAGTACATGTAAAGGGATGAGCAGTACATGTAAATGGATGAGCAGTACATGTAAATGGATGAGTGGTACATGTAAATGGATGAGCGGTACATGTAAATGGATTAGGGGAACATATGTATGGATGAGCAGTACATGTAAATGGATGAGTGGTACATGTGTATGGATGAGTGGTACATGTAAATGGATTAGGGGTACATGTAAATGGATGAGTAGCACATGTAAATGGATGAGCAGTACATGTGTATGGATGAGCAGTACATATAAATGGATGAGCAGTACATGTAAATGGATGAGCAGTACATGTAAATGGATGAGTAGTACATGTAAACGGATGAGCAGTACATGTAAATGGATGAGCAGTACATGTAAAGGGATGAGCAGTACATGTAAATGGATGAGCAGTACATGTAAATGGATAAGCAGTACATGTAAATGGATGAGTGGTACATGTAAATGGATGAGCAGTACATGTAAATGGATGAGTAGTACATGTAAATGGATGAGCAGTACATGTAAATGGATGAGCAGTACATGTAAATGGATGAGCAGTACATGTAAATGGATGAGTGGTACATGTAAATGGATGAGCAGTACATGTAAATGGATGAGCAGTACATGTAAATGGATGAGCAGTACATGTAAAGGGATGAGCAGTACATGTAAATGGATGAGCAGTACATGTAAATGGATGAGCAGTACATATAAATGGATGAGCGGTACATGTAAATGGATGAGCAGTACATGTAAATGGATGAGCGGTACATGTAAATGGATGAGCGGTACATGTAAATGGATTAGGGGTACATGTGTATGGATGAGTGGTACATGTGAATGGATGAGCAGTACATGTAAATGGATGAGTGGTACATGTAAATGGATGAGTGGTCATATAAATATGAAAATATATGCGTACATGCGTAAATGTATTTCCGTCATTTCTACAGTTAAATTATAAATAGCAAATTGATCATCAATTAGTCATTTTACTGAAACATTTCCTGATCACATAAAAATTGTATTTGTGCGAGAGTTCATACTATCAAATTCCGTTTTGCAGATGGCGACGTCCCGGGTGGACAAAGTGACGGAATTCCTGACCTGTGTGATCTGCCAGGAACTGTACACAGACCCGTGTACACTGAGGTGTGATCACACCTTCTGCAGGAAATGTGTCACCTCATACATCCAAACCAGACCTGACGCCGTACAGTCCAACACCATCTCCTGTCCCAGCTGTCGACAAGACACCGAGGTTCCCCACCCAAACAGTCCGGTGGAGGAGTGGGCGGGGCAGATCAAACCCAGCATCATTATACAGGGGCTGGTTGACATACAAGTTGACGCCACTACAGAAGGTGAGACACATCCATAATAATATGTGTGTTGTCCCCGATTTTTAAGGTATTATATGGGTATATTTCATACTTATGTTAGTATCTGAGTGCACTGATAAAAGCATAGTTACTATATCCATTTATTGCCCTGGTTCTCATATTGCGATACATTGCAATACATATTAAGATATACTGAATGTTTCTGCCTAAGTATTGAGATATGTTGACTGGAATGTTTCTGCCTAAGTATTGAGATATGTTGACTGGAATGTTTCTGCCCAAGTATTGTGATATGTTGACTGGAATGTTTCTGCCCAAGTATTGAGATATGTTGACTGGAATGTTTCTGCCTAAGTATTGAGATATGTTGACTGGAATGTTTCTGCCTAAGTATTGAGATATATTGACTGGAATGTTTCTGCCCAAGTATTGAGATATGTTGACTGGAATGTTTCTGCCCAAGTATTGAGATATGTTGACTTGAATGTTTCTGCCCAAGTATTGAGATATATTGACTTGATTGTTTATACACGCACCATTTTGGAATAGACAGACAGACAGACAAACAGACCGGGAGACAGACCAAGAGACCGAGAGAGACAGACAGACAGACAGAGACAGACAGACAGACAGACACAGACAGACAGACAGACCAGAGAGACAGAGAGACAGACAGACAGACAGAGACAGACAGACAGATATATAGATTATTCAGTTAATGATGTTTTGTGGATAGACAGACCTGCAAGCATGTCTTTTCATATTGTTTCACAGCGACGACAGCCAGGTTCTGCACACTGTGTGGACAGCTAGGGGAAGCAACTCCAGGGACCTCTTGGTGTACAGACTGCAAAGTTGCTCTCTGTGGAAAATGCGTCAGGATTCACCGTGCTAGCTCGTTATATCTGGACCATAAACTGTGTGATCTGTCCGAGGAGGTCAAGGTGAAGGAGAGACGGAAGGTCATGTGTCAGGAGCACAAACATAAGAAAATCCAATATCTCTGTAAAGACTGCAACAGACCACTGTGTCAGTCCTGTTGTGTGGTCTACCACAGGAAATGTGAATCTGTCGTCACAATCAGCTCGCAAGTGGCAAGAATGAAATCCGAGTTGGTTCTGAGGAGAAACATTTTACAGACAAAATGCCTTGGCAAAAGCAAAAGGGTAGAGAGACATAAATTAAAAATAAATGAAATACAAGACGATAAAGCAACCCTGAAAGAACAAATTCAACTTTACGCCGATAGAATCATAGAGCACATCAGGCAGACGGAAAAGATGCTGTTAGATGAATTGGATGAAACAACCGACGAACACCTCATCCAGGTCCATGCAGATGTGAAGCTGGACGAAATCGAGATGCAGATGTACAGACAACATTGTGAGTTCATTGACCAGGCCTTGGTATCGGAATGTGATGTGGACCTGCATCGTGCGTATCAGGCCTGGGAGTCTGGAGCTGTAGAGATGGAGGACATCAGGGATACAGAGGCAGCAGACACCCGGAGAATAGATGACATCATGTTTACACCAGACATTGACAACGTCCAACACATCTTAGATGTCCTACAGCTGGGAAAGATTGACGTCACATATCGCGATGGACCTAGTCTGCAGTGTTCACCAATGTTGTTCGAAACAGTTGATGCTGCTGTAGAGGGCGACGAGAGTACACCTGGAATGCCTGGCATCACAACACTTTACATAGATGGTATACAGACAATTGTTGTCACAGACTACATTAACAAATGTGTTAAATCTGTCCACAAAAGAAACGATCAACCATGTCAAAGCAAGCTTCCCCTGGATGACTCCCCATTCGGTTTAACACAGTTGAAGGAGAAGCAGGTAATGGTAGCTCTCCCTGGATCCCACAAGATCCTTACAGTAGAAGTGACCCCCGACCTCTTCCTGCAGTCAACCATCACAACAAGCAAAGCCTACGCCGGTCTTTCTGTTCTAAGTCCTGCGTCTCTAGCAGCAGGTACTTGGGATTGTGTGGATATCCTGGACATGGCTGGACACGTGTTGAGGTCAGTCACTACATACATCAATGAGACACTGTTTGCCTATCCCGCGTATATGTGTGTCAACAACAAAGGCAACATACTCGTGTGTGACTCCGGGAAGAAGTCTGTGACATGTCTGACTTCAGAGGGTGACGTTGTTTGGATATACGCCCCTACCGGAGACAAGGCACTTCGTAAGCCTACTGGTATCGTAACCACCAAAACAGGAGGTATCTTGTTTGTAGACAAGATCGCCGAGACTATTATACAGCTGAATGACACAGGGGAATATATCAAAGATGTTCTCACATCCGACGACGGTATCAGCCAGCCAGTCAGTCTCTGCATCGACAATCATGGCGCTCTTTTTGTTACTGGTGGAGGGGAAATCAAGACATTTATCTTCGCATAGCATGGTAGTGAACACCGATAGAGGGTCTGTCGGATTTAGTTCTTGTATCTCGGGGTGATGTTTGTGGATGATAAGGAGAAGATGACATAGAGAAGATTGAGGAAAATATTCAAACTTAAACAAGACGCACATTTTAATATCTCAATCTCAAATGGACATGGCCTTTATAACATGATATAAAACTCGAACTACTTCCAAATAGGAGAAGTCACTGGTGGCCCAGATGTCGAAGGTATTGCTACAAGTTCAGAGTTGCATCCCTTTCAAGAGCCAGGAACAACCACTCATTGGTATTGGGCCCAACTGCAGTACAAACTTCATTTCCGTAAGGTTAAATCATTACCATGAGAGGACTTTGGCAATCCGAAGGTCGTGTTTACAAATGTGAGTTGAAAATAAAGTATTTCATGTAGGGGTGGTATGAAATGTATACACTTCTTATAGGTAGGTCGTTGGTATGTTTGTCAGTCATTTCATTTATGAACAATTTTGTTGTAGTGTGATACAAACACAAACATTATCAGTTGAATACCAAATCCACCTGCACAGAAATCGCACAACTTGTACAAACAGAAAGTAACTGTGCCGCGTAGAAATGTAAAAAAAACACAAATAAATTGTGTACAAATATAATTAATCTTTCCACACTTATTCATAAAGACATCACAACGACTGTAAGGTCGAATGTTGCACTTGCATGTATATTTTTGTTGGGAGAATAAAACTGATAACCTTGTTAGGTTGGGTTTGTTTAGATGTAATTAGCACGCACGTATAGCTATTATGTGCACGAAACATAATGTTATCTCTTTGAAGTCGTAATCTCAACACTGCATGTACAATAGAACAACACTCATGACGTATCCACGAACGGGTCAATAAAAGCCCACCTCCGGAATCGATACCAAACTGACACATTACGAGTAATTTCTAGGTTGAACAAATTTGTGGCAGAACCGAACGCAACCGGTTGAGGGGGCACAACATTCGGCACCAACGTCACATGCAGCCCTTGTCTGTTTCCACGTCACTGTCAGCACCCCAGCACAAGTGAAGATTGTGACTGCATACACAACTATTCTGAAGATTGTGCATGGTTCCACAGGCGTCTGAGATGACGTTTCGGCGACATTTGCGTTCATCAAGGTCGTCATTTTGGGGCTCAAAGTGCAATAGTACACATCCCGTGCGAGAACATCCGATGAGGAAGCGATGAAGCTTTTGGACGTAGGAGAATCAACTTGTGAAGCTCTCGTACAATCCCCGTCTTCATCCAGTTTGTGGCTCGACGTTGAACTGAGATGACGAATGCTTCCTGTGTCCATGGATTTCATGTCAATGTCACAGTCACATGCCGTTCACCTTATAGAACGGGTCCTATATGCAAGTTTGCTTCAAATATTCTCACATACAGATGAACATGAATCCAAGGGACAGTTACATCATTCAGAGGACACGGACAGTAATTCCCCTTTTAGTTCATACTGCTTTGTGAGCAAACTGTTAATCGAGCTTTTTAATTGTCGATACCTTCTAAATTGTTGCCACTGAAGGAAAAAAGTCTAATAGCACCATCAAGCGATTTAAACCTTGATATCATCATTTAACAATTAGAGAAGACCAATCCTTTTCCATGGTCATAAAAAATCTCTACGTTAACTCTACGATTAGGCATGAATGGATGTGTTTATGACTCAGATGTAAATAGTGATAATACCAGGTGTATTTATAAAGAGTAAATCCACAGTTATCAATAGCAAACCCGGAAGTGTTGAAACACACCTGTCAATCAAAAGGTCACCCTAAAGCAGCGTGCTGCAAATCAACATTTGTCTTGATTAATGAGGTGCCTATTGGATTACCTTCTACACCAGTAGGTAAAATATAACACTTCGTATATTCCCACGCCAAGTACAGCTAACCAATGCATAACTGTTCATATGAATGACGTCTTTCATCAACGTTTCGTATGTCCGTAATCTCGTTATGCTGTTTAGACACTGTGGCCAAATATTCCTCCCAAACCCTGAAGAGTGAGTGAATACGGTTTTACACCGCCTTTAGCAATAGTCCAGCAACGGAAATGGGCTTCACACATTGTAACCATGTAGGGCATCGAACCCGGGTCTTCGGCATGACGAGCGAAGGCTTAAACCACTAGGCTGCCCCACCGCACCACCAAACCCTTCATAGATGGGTTCCATCGTTCAAATTATGAATTAAAATGTATTTCACAGGCATTTAGAATTGGAGGTTCACAGAGATATATGGATTGAAAAGTCTATCTACAAAACGTTTCTAGTTCTTGTCCATTCATCAGGTGATCCATAACCAGTAATGTTCCACAGATATACCCCATTAAAGAGACATAACTGTTTCCATATTCAGAAGAAAATCATATCCGATTGTACTGTTCCGACTGAATCGTGAGCATGTGATTATGAGACACTATCAAATAGTGATGACACCATGTGTTTATGAGTCACTATCAAATAGTGATGACACCGTGTGTTTATGAGTCACTATCAAATAGTGATGACAGCAGGTGTTTATGGGTCACTATCAAATAGTGATGACAGCAGGTGTTTATGGGTCACTATCAAATAGTGATGACAGCAGGTGTTTATGAGTCACTATCAAATAGTGATGACAGCAGGTGTTTATGGGTCACTATCAAATAGTGATGACAGCAGGTGTTTATGGGTCACTATCAAATAGTGATGACACCGTGTGTTTATGAGTCACTATCAAATAGTGATGACAGCAGGTGTTTATGGGTCACTATCAAATAGTGATGACAGCAGGTGTTTATGGGTCACTATCAAATAGTGATGACAGCAGGTGTTTACGAGTCACTGTCAAATAGTGATGACACCAGGTGTTTATGAGTCACTATCAAATAATGATGACACCATGTGTTTATGAGTCACTATCAAATAGTGATGACACCGGGTGTTCTCTAGAGTATTTGCGCATCGGTGTCACCCGTCACAAAGACATGCAAAGGCAAGTCAACTGCACAATTGAAAATACAAGGGGGTATATGGTACAAGCAAAACAGGATAGTACTTTAGATATCACTTTGGAAATGGCCTCTACATTCGACAACAACAAAAACTGAAGTTGTGCTTGTAGCAATCCACATGAAATATCAAACATTGCTTCAGCAGGATCCGCTTTAATATATAACCCGCCCAACATAACGTTTCTCATAACATCCAAAACTTCGCAGTTGAGAGTTAACGTCGTGTAGGGGTTAGGTTTCGAACAATATTACCAACTACAATACCAAACTGGGGACATATATGACGATTTTTGTATGTGTAAATACCACGTTAGGATTATGTTAAAACGTGAAAACAGATATGGACTTTGATGAACTTAACGGTGAAATTAGATCATTACACACGTTTTATTCAGTCCATGTTCACTTGAAACTTACTTGGTTTCAGTTATACTATACACCTGTACAGACACTTCTCCACAGGGGATCTTATGAACTTCTCAGGACCTTGTTAATTTCACCTCGTGTCACAAATACCTGTAATTACAACAAATCTCTGTTGATTTCACAGCAGTGCGATGTATGTCACTGCCTTGGGTCACGAGACTCAAAAGAAAGAAATCATTGTCCAATATAATGACACACAAAAGGATGAAATCAACCTATACCCTGGGTTATATATTAGGTAGTGGACGATCGCTGCCACAGCTGGAGCAAGACATGTTTACCCTGTTCGCGAACACCTGGTGTTATGTTAGTGATAATTTGTCTGTTTGATGTGTAACGCCGCACTCAGCATTATTCCAGCTTTCATGCTGTTGATCATTGGATTGTCTGGTCCAGACTCGATTATATACAGACCGCCGCTGAGTGTGGAGTTACTGACTGACTGACTGAGTTTGGTTTTACGCCGCTTTTAGCAATATTCCAGCAACATCACGGCGGGGGACACCAGAAATGGGCTTCACACATTGTGCCCATGTGGGGATTCGAACCCGGGTCTTCGGCGTGACGAGCCAACGTTTTAACTATTAGGCTACCCCACCGCCCCGAGTGTGGAGTTAAGCAATAAAAAAAAAGAAAGAAGGAATCTGTGTTTGACGTCTTACGTCCATATAGCTGTCCGTTAGAGAAATGACAAATATGTCTGACACAGTTTCTATAGTATTTTCCTTGAACTATAATTTTACATATCACACTATGTCATACCGAACTAATTGTCGAATCAGATACAAAATTACATATGAAACATATTACATAATGTAATCTGAAGAGACCCAAAAATATATTTTAACCCACACCTTTATTCGATATAGTAAATGTGGTCAAGTGTTGTTCTAAACGAAAAAACAACACTTGACACATGAAGCCGTCTGATTCTTACCGCACCGATATCATCACCAAGTAGAGGTTATTATTATGCAATCCATATTGATAAGTATAATTAACTCTCATCAGTTGAGTAATCAAATTATTATTCATAGCTGTGTTCATCCTACTTCCGTAATCATACTCAAAGCCAAGGATGCTAAGGAGCCTGAATAAAACATAAAATATTTGTTCACATAAGACGTTGATGCCAGTGGCTAATAGACTGCAATGCAAGTATCCGCTCTAAAGGATCCTATTATCAACTAAGTGATGAATCGCACATGAATGGATAACTGAAACTTCTTTATGCTACCAGCTGTTAGCGAAAAGGTGTCCTGCTCCACCGATATCACGCACCACTCACACAGTTTGGTATTTAAAGTGTTTGCTTGTTGGTTCCCAAACCTGCGCCCAGCTCCTGTGATGTGAATCATTAAGTGAAGTGAAGTGAAATTGGGTTTAACGTCGTGCTTGAGAATATTTCACTCATATGACGACGTGCATGCGTGTGTATGTGTATGTGCGGCTGCTTGTACTAGCCCAGACTAAAGCTGGTTTTATAGTGCTAGCCCACTGAGATACCATGCCGCAGTGAAGCATGAATACCCGACTCAGACACATTATACTGACTCCGAGCCAACCAGTCCTTGTTGTACCCATTAATGTCGAGTGCCAGGCAGGGACCAACAAGTACCATATTTTAACGTCTTTTGGTATGACGCGGTCGGGGATCGAACCCGCGACCTTCCGCTCTCTGTGAATCATTCATTCTGATGACAATCTCCAGGACCTTATTAACAAGAAACAGTGACTTCCTCTCCTCATGTCTTGTAAAAATAGACACAACGTGAATGTGTCTCGTTTTTAAAAAGTGAGTGAGTGAATAGTGTTTTACGCCGCTTTTAGCACTATTCCAGCAATATCACGGCTGGGGACATCAGAAATGGGCTCCACACATTGTAGCCATGTGGGGAATCGAACCCGGGTCTTCGGCGTGACGAGCGAACGCTTTAACCACTAGGCTATCCCACCGCCCCCGTTTTTAAAAAGGGGAAATGGTACAGAGGAGCAATGAAACAGAACATTATCACCTTTGCTGAGATTGATCGGAATTATTTTTCTTTGTCTTTGTGTGTGGACAATGCATTGAATGATTTACACGAATGTAAGAACAAACTCACGTCTATATTGCCGTTGAATGTTCGTTTTGTTATGGTTCATGTTGAATGTTTTTTTATGATTTTCACGGACTTCGTTCAGTGCTTACATATTCATCATGCGTTGAGTCATCAGTTACAAGCACAGGTTACGTAAAAGTTGACTTAAATTTCAAGATTTTCTACTTTCAGTTTGAATTTTTATGA